CATTTCCAGGAAGAAAAAAATTAATTGGAAGCATCACACTTATAAATTATATGGGTTCAATTCATACAATTTAAAATATTGACCTACTACATCTGGATTGAAGGTAAAAATGAAAGTTTCTCTTCTCTGGTTGATGTTCTTTCTGATATATGAATCCTTCATGTAAGGATCTTCTATATTTGACATGAGAAAACATTATATTAAAAGTTTTTCAACTTATATGCTTGTTTTCAAATTCTTTTAGCTAAGAAAGTAGTAAGACACAGCCAGCATACTACTGTCATAAAGTCAATAATTACAGCAATACATACTGAAAGTCTAGGAACCACATAATTGGCTGTAAATCTTTAAGGCTACTCAGAGCAAGTTAACTATAATTTGCTGATGTAATCATTCGGCTTTGCTAGTGAATAAAATAACCTACAGTTTTTGTCATGATTTAAGGAGAAGAAAGGAGAAAGATGAAATTATCTTTGTTAATGCAGTGAAACAAAAATATCTCCTAAACTCCAAGTCATTTTCCAAAGTGGAAAACCTGCACTGAAAAACACATTACAGCTCCAATTTCAACCAAGAAAGCTAAACCTTTCTTTTTTTATGGTGGTTCAGGATTCAAGGAAAAATTTACAGCAGAAATAAAAGAATTAATGGAAAGCCTCAAGAAATTACAGAGAATATCCGAATGATGGTTGTTCTAACTAGTTATTTCCAAATAGAGGTCAGCCCAGGTTCTCAGTATCATTTATTTCTTGGACTTGGCTTTTACCTGGTTTGCTATGATTTTTCAATCACTAGATAAGAAAGATAATTTCAGGGAAAGAGATTTCACCCTAAAAATACCTTTTCATTTCCATTGTCCCTTTTCTATTCTTTTCTGATCTGCTATATCACACTATCATTTCTCTATGTCCTCTCTCCTTACCTAATACCAAAAAATTCAGACCTCTTGCTCTGGTAAAATTAACCCATTAGAACTTTCCTACATGCCACTTACATTTTTCTCTCTCTACATCCAACAAAATGCCTGGCCTAATATGCAACCAGTAATGACCTGTAGCTCTACCTGGAAAGTCCAAAATAGTTTTTTGTTTTCTTCTGAAAGCCATGGACCTCACTTTGAAAATACTGCTTCAAATTCACTTCCTTGAGGCAGTCATTCAAGGCCAAATTCATCTGTGTCTATTCACTTGGGGCTACCACAAAACATGTTTAGTTTGTACTGTATAACTTATCCTTGTCAGCCTATTTCCTTATAAAAGTGTTCTTCAATTTCATGTTTGCTTATTTTCTATCTTCCACCTGGGAAACTAAATTTCCCATACTCTTTGTTTCATTCCACAGTGCCTAAAACAGTCTTCTACACACAAGATGTACTCAAAATAAGGCTGCCTCACGCTTTTCTGAAAATTATCTACAAATATATTTTCATAAGTGTGAATTAAAAAGAAATACTGGTCTGTGTCCCTGGTTCCTGACACACAACTCCTAAAATCCTTGTAAACAGAGACACTAAAAGAATCTTCTGTTCTAATATTTGTTCTTTAACCCTGGTTCCTGACACTAAGCTCCTAAAACTTTTTGTAATTTCCTAAGTACTATAAGTGTCTTAACAGAATTCCTAAATCCCTGCAATTTCCTGGGTGATAGGAGCATCTTTTGTTCTAATGGGGAGACTCCTGGTAGGCTCCCGGATAGCCTCAAGATGGGACCTGTCTGCCTGGGAAACCAACCATGTGATTAAAGGATTGGAACCTGCAGCCCCCTTCCTAGACCTCTGAGGACAGGACAGGCTGAAGGTTAAGCTGCTCACCAATGGTCAATGATGTAGTCAATCACACCTACATAATAAAACCCCCATAGAAACTCAAAATGACATGGTTTGAAAAAGCTTGTGGAAAGCTGAACACATGAAAATGTTTGGAGGATGATGCAATCAATGAGGTCATGGAAGCTCTGTGCCCCTTTTCACATATTTGCCCTATGCATTTCTTCCATCCAGTTATTTACTTGTATCCTTTGTAATATCCTTTATAGTAAGATAATAAACTTACATGTTTCCCTGAGTTTTGTGAGCCATCCTAGCAAATTTTTGAACCCAAGGAGGAGGTTGTGACAACACTGATTTATAGGTGGCTGGTCAGAAGCATAGGTCACAACCTGGAATTTGCAACTGGCATGAGAAGTAGGGGGCAGTCTTGTGGGACTAAGCCCTTAACTTGTGGGGTCTGCCCTAAACTCCAGGATGTATCAGACTTAAGTTAAATTGTAGGACAGACAGTTGGAGTTGCTGTAGAATTGGTTGTTGGTGAGAAGAAATTTCACATTGTAGTGTTCTGAGTGGAGAAGACAGACTAGGAAAAAGTTTGTTTTTTCCTATATCATGCAATAAATTATATATGATAATTTTATATATTTAAAGAAGATAAACTGAACACATGCAGTTAGTTCCTTCTGAATCCCCTAAAACAACAACAAAAAGGGTTTTTGCATATGTGTTTGATTTTTAAGGCATAAGCCCACACAGACAGAAAGAATGGAAATCAGAGACAAAGGCAACAAACTTCAGGAGCTGACAAGGCAGAGAGAAGACTGGTAAACGACTCAACAGACTGAAGATAGCTGAATGCTAAGCCAGAAGTGTAGAAAGCCAAGAACCAACATGCTTATAATACAAAATTCCATTAAGGCTCAGAAACTGGCAGGACTAAGTACCTCTGGCACCAGAGTCAAGAATTAAAATTACTTTCTCAATACAAGTTCATTTAAGAAGCTTGGATAGGTCTTCCCATCCCCTTGAAGTCCTCCCTACTTAGCACAGCCACATGACTGACACTTCCCCATATCAGCAAAATATAAGAAGTTTGCGCTCTAGAGGGTAAACAAGGGGTATCTGGATTGGGTCTATGCTATAGACTGAATTGTGTCCCCTCGCCAAATACATATGTTGAAATCATAACCCCCAATACCTCACAATGTGACGATATTTGGAAACGGGGTCTTAATTTAAAAGGTAATTAAGCTGGTTCTAATTCATTGTGACTGGTATTTTTATAAAGAGAGGACATTAGGACACAGACACACAGAAGGAAGACCATTTAAAGAAATAGGAAAAAAGGAGGCCATCTACAAACTAAGGGAAGAAGTCTCAGAAGAGACTAACTCTGCCATAGACACTTAGTCTGTAGTAGTTTGTTACTGCAGTCCTAGCAAACTAATATCATATTCTAAGAAAAAAAAAAAAAAAAAAAAGAAAAGAAAATTAAGTGACGCTTACAGATATACCAGAAGCTAGGCCCAGCCTTCTTCCCCACATGGCTTCTGAAATGCTGGGTACAAGGTAGGAGATTGTTCACTCTAGGGACTCTTGGCTTTGGACTTTTCCCAAAGAAATGTTCCAGCCATATAGTGAATATAACCGTTGACAAGCCACACCCACATGCACAGTTTCCAATTAGTTTTACAGTCCTACCCTGAAATATGAGCAGACAGTAAAAGATTAGGAAACATTCAAAGAAAGCATTTAATATTAAAGACACTATAACAAACAAAAAACAACAAACCTGAGGGACACAGAAGTTATACAGTGAGAAGAAAACATTACCATTCTTTAAAAGATAAGCTAATAAGAATAGGATGCCAAAACAAAGGAAAAGAAATCAAAGGAGTTACAGAAGTTAAAAATATGAGTAGAAATGAGTAACTCAATAGAAGAGCCAGAAGACATAGCTGAAGACATCTCCCAGAAAGTAGAACAAAAGGACAAAACTGAAAATAAGAGAGAAAAGATAAGGTAATTAGAAGACTAGTTAAGGAAGTTCAATATGTAGAAAGTAAAACAGACCATGGGAAGAAGTAAAACCAATAATAGTTTCCAAGAACTGAAGGTCATACGTTTCTATATTGAAAAGATTAGCACAAAAAATGTATGCCTAGTAAGAAGGATAAAGAATCATCCATGTTCTGGCACATCATTGTGAAAGTCCAAAACACTTAGAACAAGGAGTAAATACTACCAATTTCCAAAGAGAAAATATAGGATATGTTCATTTTGCAAAATATCATCAAGTAGAGCACTTCTAATATGCACCCTTTTCTACATATACGTTAAACTTAGATTAAAAGCTTTTTAAAAATGAAAAGAAAAGAATGGTACTATCTTTTAGAAAAGATATGGTTTGGATCTGTGTCCCCATCCAAATCTTAGGTTGAATTGTAATCCCCAGTGTTGGAGACAGGGCCTAGTTGGAGGTGACTAGAGCATGGGGGTGGATCCTTCACGAATGGTTTAGGAACACCCTCTTGGTGGTGTTCTCATGACAGAGTTCACACAAGATCTGGTGTTTAAAAGTGTGTAGCACCTCCCCCATCTCTCTCCTCTTCCTTCTCCAGCCATGTAAGATGTGCCTGTTTTCCCTTCACCTTCTGCTATGATTGTAAGTTTCCTGAGTCCTGCCCAGAAACCAAACAAATGCCAGCACCATGCTTCCTGTACAGCCTGTAGAACCGTGAGCCAATTAACCTCTTTTCTTTATAAATTATCCAGTCTCAGGCATTTCTTTAAAGCAATGGGAAAAGAGACTAATACAAGAAGTAAACTGAGAAACTAGTTTAATTAAGAAGAAAAATAGTAAACATATCTTCCTCAATAGGAAAAATATCAAGCAGACATACAAAGCATAAACTTAAACTTGTTTTTGTATCTTCACAAAAGGGGACCTGAAAGAGTAAATGGTTGATCAACAGTCTAAGCACAAGTGGGCTTCTCCATTCAGGTATCAATATGTAATAACTTCACTACGCCTACACATTAGATAGTAGAGTCTGAAATTTACTTCTACAGAAAAAAAAAGCAGGACAACAGACACAATGTCCCTTTCAAACTTCCTAGAGGTAGATACAAGGGTCCTTCAGCTCATTTCAAAGCAGCCTTCCAAACTCTGGTACATCTGTACAACAAGTTCATGAATGTGAAATTAACATAACAAAAGAACACAGCATACCTGTATCTTTCCTTGGAATAAGTGAATTATGATTCTCCAGGGGATGGCCAAGAAAGTCCCAAGAAGTATTCTCTCTTTTTTTAAGAACAATCTCTATTTTTCCCACACTCTCAACAACCCGCACTGAAAAGAAGATAAATTCCATTTGTATTCATCGATACTAAATACAAGATTTTATTTTAAAACCAGTATTTCTCAAATAGTACAAATGTCCTGATCTAATATGAATGGTACTGATTATTAGTGGGATAAATAAGATTCTGTTTATGTATTCAATCACAATCATAATTGTTTATGCTTTATATGCTTTAATTTACTTTATTAATAGATTCTGATTAACTTCTTTCAAACTAATTTATTAAGGGTCAAACTACTATGTGTTGCTGGTTTTCATACAAGCTCAAATATAGCCATGGCAACTAACTGACATAAAGTTTAAAAAAGAAAAAAAAGGCTGAGATGTACAAATTAGTATCGAATGCCCCCACAAAAGCAAATTTAACTTGCTTTTAAACGTTCCTTAGTCAGAATCTGAAGGATTCTTATGAGTAAATTCAGCAGACTAATACCGAGTCTAATAAACACAAGAAGAGCCTCATGAGAATGAGGTCCTAGTAAATACAGAGTAAATGGATAAAGTGCATGTGAATCTTTGATAAAAATATTTTAGATTACCTTTTTATTTATTGAATAATTAAAATGTTTATAATATATGGGTATAATAATAAAATATACACTTTCATATGCTGATTTAAATTTTATGAATTGAACATGCTTTTAAAGATTTAAAGCATATTTAATTTTTCTTCAGAAACAATGTTCTGCTCTCCCCCACTGTGAACACAAAATCCAGTAACAATTTAACAACTTTTAAAGATAGATGGATCAAATGAATTCAATTTGATGAGCACTGATTTGAAGTTTAACCAAAATAAAAACATGGTCTTTGTCTTTAAAGAGCCTGATTTATATAATTTACAGAGCCTATAATGATATATGGAAAAGAGGAAACATTGGACCAGCATAAGGTACCAAAACAGTACTTGAAAACAAGAAAATACTATTCTATGATGAGTCTTCTATTATTAAATAGCTGTGTAAAACCTACGCTGCATGTTTATATGCAGCAATATTCATAATTTAATATGCTCTTTATTAAACATTTAAATATACAGATGAAAGAAAAATTTTGTTAATACAGTATATTTCTTTTTTCTTTTTTTTTTTTTTTTGAGATGGAGTCTCACTCTCGCCCAGGCTGGAGTGCAGTGGCACAATCTCAGCTTACTGCAAGCTCTGCCTCCTGGGTTCACGCCATTCTCCTGCCTTGGCCTCCCAAGGAGCTGGGGCCACAGGCGCCCGCCACCACGCCCGGCTAATTTTTTGTATTTTTAGTAGAGATGGGGTTTCACCATGTTAGCCAGGATGGTCTTGATCTCCTGACCTCACGATCCTTGGCCATATAGTATATTTCTACAAGCTGCATGTCAGGAGTAGGGCAGATATGAGGAAAGAGGAATAAAAAGGAGACAGAATGTGTGTGTGTGTGTGTTTTTTTAAAGAAGGAAAAAAAAGAAAGGTTAAAGAGATAAAAAGAATAAGGGGGTCCAGCCAGGGCAACGTGGTGAAACCCCATCTCTACAAAAAAAATTAGCCAGCTGTGGTGGTGTGTGTGCACTGTGATCTCAACTACTCAGGAGGCTGAGGTGGGAGGATCACTTGAGCCTGGGGGGCAGAGGTTGCAGTGAGCCAAGATCACGCTGCTGCTGTCCAACCTGGGTGACAAAGTGAGACCCTGTCTTGCACACAAAAAAGGAACAAGCAGGAAGAAAAAATAGGAAAAAACCTGAAACCAGAGGGAGGGGTATATTTAAAAATTAATGTATTTGTATCTGTACAACAAACCCCCATGACACACATTTACCTATGTAACAAACCTGCACATCCTGCACATGTACCCCAGAACTTAAAAGTTTAAAAAAAAAGAGAAAACATCCTATCTTTGTTTTGCAACATGAAAATACACATATGAAAAATGAAACACATGCTAATTTTTCAATTTTTCTTATCTCTCTCTCTCTCTGTAGGTATGTGTATATGTACATACATACATAATTTTTGGGTTTTGGTAGCTTACCAGAAAAATCTTCCTGAACCTCATGGCTTAGCCCTAGGACAGACAAATTTATTTAGTTAAAATAGAACTTCAATTCATACAGTTTTTGAACACCATATGTCATTTAAATGGCTCTTTCATGAATTATTTCAAATCCCTCAAGACAAATAAAACATGTTCTGAGAGACCCAAAGAAATTGTACACAATCAAAATGAAGATTCAAATTATTTAAATATATATATTTTCAACTGTTTCAATTTTCTCCCTTTTAACTAAAGAGCAAATACTCAATTGTCCACAAGTGGGTAACCCACACTAGTCCAAGCATGGATGGTTCCAGACTGGGAATCCTACAAACCAAGAGAGAAGCAGACTAGGGAGAGGCAGCACCTAAAGCACGCAAGCCCCAGAGTGCGTGCGTGTGTGTGTGTGTGTGTGTGTGTGTGTGTGTACACAGGCCAGGTCTGGGTCTAGCTTACCTCTTCTTATTGTTCCCCAAAGTTGACTATCCATTCAATTATTGAAAAAAATCTTACTGAGCATCTACATGTGACAGGTATTTTCTAGGTATTATGGACACAACAGTTAATAAGACAGAATAATTTCTGCCCCTATGGAACTTATACTCCAGAAGGGGGGGATGCAATAAATATGCTTACAAATGTCTGCTATGCATTTCACTGTGTTCATATGGTTATCTGGAATCTACAATTTTGCATTATTTCAGTCCTTTCAATGCAATACTAGCACCCGAGAGTTTCATATTTTTAACTGTGGAATTTTTAGTTTTTTAAAATATGTGTGCTAGTGTAGGGTTCCCTGGTTTCTACCACTTTTTTCTCTGTCCTGATAAAAAAAATACAAAGTTGGTCTTTAGCCATGAAGGGATGGACAGCTGGAAGATACAATACAAATTTGTAGTTCAGGCTGCTTTGCTGCAGCCACTGACTTCCTGTGGCAGAGCTGGTAAGGAACAGGCCAGTGGAACGGGCCATCTAGCGAAGGACAGTCAGTAGGACATGTGACCACTGAGTCTTGGAAGACTTCTTATAGGTGTCAAGTATGAGAGATTTTACAAAGCTGGGCCAACAAATATTTTATATTATTGATTTTGATTGCATCTAATTGCTTAAACTTGGAAAGGTGAGGTCACACCGCCACTGCTAGTACTTTTATTAGTGTAAAGAAATTACAGGAAAAAAACTGATCAAAAATGACTAACCAAAATGGTAACAGCAGATAAAATATTACAGTTACCTAGACTGTAGACCAAATTATTGCCATATTTAAAGAAAACCAGAGCTCTTTCCATTAATAATGATAAAGTACTCACCAATATGTATAAGATATAAACAATCCTTAATAATTGTTTCTGCTCTAAAGGAATCATCCTGATGATCAACTATTATTGAGTCTAAACTGATATCCTTAAACAGAAAGAAACAATAGAAAGATTAGAAAGTAAAAATTTCCCCCAAACTTCTACAACTATACTTTTAAGGTGATTTGTGGTAGTTCACATGGTGCTTCTTTATTGGACCTCCAAGCTAAACAAATGTGACTTCCGTTTTTCTCCCTTACAATCCAGTTCTTCTCCTTCAACAGACATATCAAAATTTTAATTACTACATATCCGTCTCTGTTTAATATCTACCTTATCCACTCATCTCTAAGCTCTAAGGTTAAGGGACTATCTTTAGAACACTGTTTGGCACCTAGTAGGTGCTCAATAAATATTTTTTGAATAAGCAATATAGAATCCCCCCACCCCCTAGAAAATAACAATCAGAGCAGAAACCAACTTATTTTTGTTCATCTTTATCTTTTCTGTAATGTATGATCCTGGGCAAATTACATAACCTCTTGACCTTAGCTTATAAAAAAAAATCAAATCACTAACATATTTTTAGGTGTCTCTAACTTCTACATAGCCTTGGTGTAAGCTATATATTATTTATATTATTCACTGAATACATTATTCCACAAGGAAACCTTTTCTTTCCCTTAGCCATGCATCCTCTCTGTCCCATTGATATTACCAATGCAAGTGGAGCTTCCTAGAGCCTGTGCTCTGGGTTTTGAACTGTGTGATGAAAAGACAATATCAAGAGAGAGTGGAAAACAGGATAAGTAGTGCCTCTGGCCCTCTTGGCTCTTTCCAGGCAGAGGCTGGTCACTCCTGCAGAATGGCCAAATCATGCTGCAAGAGTCAGAAGAACCCACTGGTTCAGACATGGTTCTGCTACTATAGAAGTAGCATGAATTCTCAAAAATTCCTAGCTGCCAGAACTTGTCTTTAAATCTACATATCCCTCAAAGTGTGGGAACCTCAACAGTTGCTGGAGGATGTGCTTGGAGATATTTTAAATTGTATGCATATTTATCTGATTTTCCAGTTGGACTGTAAGCCTTTTTGAAAGTCAGGTCTCTAAGTATCTGGTCTATCATTAGATCCCTGATATCTAAGGCTGTGTTCTACATGAAACAGGTTATAAATACTTAATGAACTATCTCCCTAACTTTAGTTTCAATGGTGAATGAATTACCTCCCTAACTTCAGTTTCAAATGGGGATCCGAACACCATTAGTGGTTTAAACATACTAAGCCACAGCCACAGCAAAATACCTTCTCCAATCCCAGTTTATGTCTAGGAAATTTGTTCTTATGGTGAAGTTAACTGATATTCATTTTTTGTTATCCATACTTTACACACACACACACACACACACACACACACAGAAAAACACATAAAATACTTCCTACTCTGATTTTTAAGAGGCTATAGGAATGGCTGTTAAGAGCAGATGCTCTGGAACCAGACTGCCTGAGTTCCAAATGCCCGATTTGCCACTCAGTGTCTAACTATGGGTGAATTACTTAATCTTTTCTTTGTTTCCTCTTCTGTACAAAAGGGATAACAATACTATCTACCTCAAAGAACTGTAATGAGAAGTAAATAATATAAAAAAGTGTTTAGAAAAAGACCTGGTACATAAAATTAACATTTATTATTTACTTCTTTTCTGATTTAAAAGACATATTTACCTTCTGTTTAGTATATATGGCAATGGTGACTAAAGAGTTTGTTTGGAACCAATCGTAGCTGTAAAATATAAAGAAAAGGATGAATAATTATATAGACAATCATGTGCATTAACACATATTAATCATTAAATGTTTAAAATTTATAGTGAGACATATCTGTATTTCTCTAGGTTAAGCTTTTTTTCTAAATAGTGGTCTTACCATGTTACATTCTTCATTATACAGCTGACAACTATTTCTAAATTTAAAATATCTATACTTCCATGTATTCCCACCTGAATAAAAACAAAATATCCTCAACAAGACACTTTTTATAAAGGTTACACGTCTCTTTACTAAAATCTTCTTTTATCAGAGCAAAATCAAAACAACATATTTTGTTAGAGTATGAAAAAATGTACCTGTTTATTATCTTCATTTCTCCCTGTCACAAATATATTAGTACTGAAGAAATGAACTCATCAAGGTTGTTTAATGAGTCCATAGTAAAACTTAAAGTAAAACTAAGTCTTCTGTTTTGTTACAGCTATTGATCAAATTGATACTCTATTTGCACTTATCACCTATATAGGCGAATCTACAGGGAGCATCCTTAGTCCCTAATTTAAAATTTTATATCAAATAATTTAACAAATATAGCAGGATGCTGACGTTAGAAGAATACAGACTGGTGGTGTGGAGAAAAGGGATAAGAGAAAGAACTACAGAGAACACACCTGAAGGCATTTTAAGTGTCATTAACAAGATATATGTGTATTGCCTAAGTTACTACTAACTGTTTAAGACAACTGTTGGGCAATACATTCTGAAAAATTCCCATTAAAAATTGATAAAAATGAACTAGATATATATAAAAAAGAATATTTAAATACATTATGGCATGGTCATATGATGGAATGAAGAGAAAAAATGCTTTCACAGAAAATTTAATGGCATAAAAAATGCTCATAGAATATACTGTTATACCAATATTATAAAAATAGAATAATATGGAAGTAGGTATTATATTAATCTAACTGGAAAATATAAATAATAGTATGTAACTAAGGATAGTGAGATTACAACTGATTTTATCACTTTCTTTTGTATTTCTCTATATTTTCTAAGTTTTCTACCATTAATGTATTTTTTTTATAATCAGAAAAATATTTTAAAATAGTTTTTTAAAGTACTGGTGTTTAAAATGGATCAAACTTCAGTTATATTTAAAATTCACATTTATGGAACAGCTCATTCTCTAACAACATCTCCAACAACATCTAATAAACAGCTCATTCTCCAACAACATTACAGTTCTCGTGTCAAAGATGCATGACTAACAGTAAGCGATAAATCAAACCCAGAGCTACCTTATTTTTTAAATGTGTACATTTTTGTATATAATTGATTTAACTTCAAACATTTTAAAGAAGAATGCATACCTTGGATAACTAGGACCTTCTTTGGCAAGTGTATCTGTCACTTGGCTCTTGGGAAGCATGCCTTTACAAAGAAAGATAGCTATAGTTCATCTACAAAGTATTTTCAATATTTTGTCTTTTTAGTTAACACCTTATTGAAATATCACATATATTCATAGAAGGATACAAACCACAAATGTACTACTCAATATATTTTCACTTGATCTTAGCCAGAAGGCCAAGATAAAGCGAAACATACCCTTGCAGTCAGCACTCTCTTCATGCTCCCTTTTCAGTCACCACCCCTGCCTCAAGAGTAACATGTATTCTGACTACTAATACCATGGTTAGTATTTGCCTGTGTTTGATCTTCATATAAGTAGAATGATACATTCTCTTTTAGTCTGGCTTTTTGTCCAATATTCCAGACATTACAGTTCTTATGTGAAATAAGCATGATTGATAATAAGCAATAAATCAACTCTAGGCTTTCTGAAATTTTATCCATGCTACTAAATTCATCAGTAGCTTGGTCCTTATTGTAACTGAGTAGTAATACATTATATGAATAGTTCACAATTTATTCATTCTTCTGTTGATGAACATTCAGGTTGTTTCCAGTTTGGAGCTGTTAGACACAGTGTTGATATAAATATTCTTTTACAGGTACATGCATATTCTTAAAGAACACATATCTACACTTTTGGTTAGTATGAAGGGTGTTTGTATGTTTAGCTTTAGAAGATACTACTGAGTAGCTTTTCAAAGTGGTTATACCAGCTGCTCCACAATCTCACCAACATGTGGTTTCTATCTTTTCCATTTTACTCACTCTTGTGGGTTTGTATCCTTGTGGGTATGCACAACTACAAAATGCATCTTGGGTATATGATGCAGTTTAAAAGCCCACTAAAGCTATGGTTTTTAAATCATTTCAGAAAACTGAGATATGGAAGAACTCAAGATATTGCAAACATTAAGTATTTCCCTCCTACAACAGGAGTGCATTGTTTGTATATGGTAAGATTTAGTTTGGAAAAAAGAAGTACTGCTGCTACCTGACTTTTGAAAATCATTGCATCAATTATATTACTATTTCTCAAACTATACAGGAACAAAATTAATGGTTAGTATCTGCTGAATCTTGGGTGCACAAATTAGAAATCACAGTATTTTATATAAATTTAAAAGTTGCAAGATACCTTTGGGACAAGACAGTTTAGAGATTTTCAAGATTCTTTTTAGACACAAACCTTCAAGACAAGCTCAAGTGCAAGCAAGATGTAAAACAGTCATATTTTTCTGAACAGGCTGATGGTGAGCCCTGAGTCCAGGCCTTACTCATTCAGCTTCCATTTCTTCCCACATAACTCTGCAGAATACTATTTTCAGATAAACAAAGGAAGCCTCAGGTATGTGACAACAAGGTCAGAGTTGTCAGCTAATAATTAGCAGTGGGCACTAAAAGAAGAGTGCTCTACTACAAAACCGCAGGTAAAACAAAAGAGGACTACAAGAATTAAACGTATTTTTTTTCTAATATGGTAAAAGCGGACAAAATAATCTTATTAAATTAAGCAGCCCTGAAAGATTTCATTAAGAGATTATAGTTGTTTCTCTTTCGTAAGTCTCTTAGGTATGTAAAAAAAAAAATCAAAAGCATCAAAATCTAACAATTTCTGTAAGAAAATGTTATAAACAGAATTCATAAATTGTAAGTCAATACTGATCTTGTATGATCTAATTAGGACCAGAAAATCTATAATTAAGCTCAGCGCCAGTACTGTGATTTTATGCAAGACACTGTTTCCTCTTCCTCAAATTGGAACTATTAATAGCAATGAAATGCTCCCTGCAGTCTCATGGGTGAGCAAATGAGACAATAATCAAACATTCTAAAAAACTATTTAGTATCATTAAGATAAATCTTATTAAAACAGAATAATAAGCCATGGAATGTGTCTTAATTTAAAACTAACTAAAAGAAAACCCTCAAACTTTATATAATATTATTTTGAGTAAGTTGAAAGAATAGGGGGGTGAATGTGTAGTGAAATAAAATAATTAAGTAATGCAAGGTGGACTGAATGCATGTTCTCCCGTCCATAAGTGTTGGTTGATTGAATGCTGTCAATTTGAAGGGATCGGGTCTCTAGTGGAACAGGAAAGTAGTCCAACCCATTCAGTATTTTAAGCAGCTATTGGAATAGTAACATAGAATGCAGGCGGATCACATTTGCAAATACAGAGACTTATCACATAGACTTAAATGAGCCAAAAGGGAAAAGCAGCTAATAAATATACAGATAGAGAGATATGTTCCAGTCTTATAGGGTCCAGGTCACAAGAGGTAACAGAGCTAACCACATCACTTATGGAGTGCTATATTCCATACTTAACGCCACCTTTTACTGATAAATTAGTCAAATGCAGTGCATCCAAAGAAGGCAACAGAAAAGTGAAGGTTCTGGAAGCCATATGTGGTGGAAAGGAAATGCCTAGTCTATCAGTAATCAATCATTAAGCAATGGTTGCTTTTGTAGTGTCACAGAAGAGTCAATCAACAGATGAAACCAAAGATCAGTCCCTCATTTAATGGAGTGTTATATTATCCGATGATATATTATCCGATGAACAGCTTCAGGTACTATATATTGCATAAGTTAGTCCACAATATAGACTATTTCCTCTAGTTAACAAAGAAAAAGTTAACTCATCTGGCAATCTAGCTTGTTAGTTGAATTTCTGTAACTTTCTTTTGCAAACGAAAGAAAAAAATGTTTTTAAATGTACATCAATGTAGTTCAGTTAGAGTTAGCATCGTGCATTTTATGTCAGTAGTGACCATCATGCCAAACTTTTTTGCGGGGGACAGGAAGTGTCAGTCATTATTTGCAAGTCATCCAGAATGGCTGGATGCACCACTCAGTTCAGAAAATTGTAGAGTAATAAACTATTTGGCATGTGTATGCAAACATTGGAGGTGAGCTCACACCTAAGAAAATTGACTTGTTTTGTCTTGTTTCTGAGGATGAAATTCCTAATTGCTACAAGTATTCAAGCTGAGGGAAGATAACATGTATTCAGGGATGTCACAGAAGGCAGGACTATAAGAGTAATGGCTAGAAAAAAGAGCCTATAAAACTCTACAAAAGACTCTTAAGTTTGGGCCAGTAATGCTATCTTTCATACAAAAAAAAAAAATTTAGGCTGGGCACGGTGGCTCACGCCTGTAATCCCAGCACTCTGGGAGGCCGAGGCGGGTGGATCACGAGGTCAGGAGTTCGAGACCAGCCTGACCAACATGGTGAAACCCCATCCCTACCAAAAATACAAAAATTAGCTGGGTGTGTGGTGTGCACCTGTAATCCCAGCTACTCTGGACACTGAGGCAGGAGAATTGCTTGATCCTGGGAGGCTGAGGTTACAGTGAGCCGAGATGACGCCACTGCACTCCAGCCCGGGTGACAAAGCAAGACTCCATCTCAAAAAAAAAAAAAAAAAAAAAAAAAAAAAAAAATCTAAATGCCCCAGACAATTCTGTGAACCAATACTGTTCATAAGCATGAGAATACAATTCATTTATTATAAATTTATAGACTTACCATTTAAGACTTTCTTTTCCTCCTCACGATAGTCTGTATAGCAATTTAGAAAAAAAAAGTCAAATAAGAATACTTTAATGTCAAAGAGAATGTCAGTCCACATTACTGATTTCAAGATAACAGTCCTTCTTTTTTGAAGGGCTTTCTTCTAAGGTCTGAGGAGAGAAACAGGTTAATATAGAAATGGCCTTTGTTTTAAACAAGTAAGTTTCATCTCTGAAGACTGCCAGACCATATTTCTCCAGATGTTTGGCTCCATTTCATTTGGATTTTTTCTAATTCTTTGGTCACTTTTTTAAATATCTTGGTTAATTTCTATACAGAGCATATGTAAATGCCAGGTTTCATCCAGGTTATCATATTTTAAATTAGTACAAGTTAACCAGAATTTATTAGATTATACGTCATAAATTAAACACGCACATTAACAACTCAAAGAAAGATGTCTTCTTATCTTTCCCTTTTACTGAGTTCAATGTGTAAAATGATGGTTATTTCAAGTTTAAAATATGTTCAGATTTTTGCATGTATACCCAATGCAATTATTAGTGTTACAAACCCAGAAAAAAAATGAATAGGTATTTTCTTTCAGGATGGCAGCCAACTCACAAACCTATGTTATATTCTAATAACTGCAAGTGCTATACCATTATGGTCAAAATAAACACCTCAGCAAACTGTCAAAATTTTTTAAAAAATGGGTTAAGCTAACAAAAAATATTCATATAGTCAAATTGAAAGACATCATTTCTTAAGCTGACATCACCTTGTTTTATACAAAAAAAAACTAACATATTTAATATTAAAGCTTTCAAATTTTTTGTGTTCCAATATTTAATCACCAGAAATTCCATAATTAACTTCACTTCACTCATCCATCCCAAAATAATAATCATTAAGGAAGCCAAATGACCATCCTTTTGCTTTTCCTCATTTTACCAAAATAACTTTACAGCTGAAAGGAATTTTAACAACATACAGCAAATTATCACCTGATCTACTAATAAAGGCTGAAAATCAGGGGTCAAAGGACTTGAATGAAATCCATCACTCCAGCAAAAAAGCCAAAATTAGATTTGTCTCCCCTGAAACACAGTCCTATTTTTCTTTGCAATCCAGGAGTTAATATTTCCTAAAAAGATAGCAGGCCTAAAAACCATTTAAACTATACTTCAAAATGAGTTTTGTTTATCAACTGCTAGATACAAATCTGGCCATTACAGTTTGCAAAGGGTCACTGATGTCACTGCTTGGTCATGTACTTTCATCCAGTCAGTTTTATCTGTCTTTGTTGTTGCAGTTGTGATTATTTGTTTTATCTTAGAAATTCACAGAACATATATCTATTTTCAGTGTACAATAAAGTCAACAGTTTAATAAACCTCATTTGTCATGTAAAACAAGTAGTTTTTATCTAAGAGGTTCACAGATTTTGGAAAATTGTCCCAGGTAATTTGTTTCTAAGAAGAAAATATTATCTCATATGATTACTTCTTGCCTGATACGAATAGATTTGGATTTGTCAGAACTTTCTGGATTCTGCTAAATCAGTAGGTTTTTTTTCCCCCTGAGTCTTTTTTTAATACAAGAAGTACTAGCAGAAAGATAACTTCCACTTAAAGAATCTGGGTTACGTTTAAAAATTCTCCTAGTCTGTTTTTACAACTCTTTTCAAAAACTGACTTATAGAAATGGAGAAGACTATTTTACAATCTTAAGCATATTTACATCTGAATCATTTTAGTCACAGGAGATACTTTCCTCTCTGAAAAGAAATCTGATGTTTTCTCTTGGTAACTAATTCCATCATTTAGTTGGCTCCATGGCCAATCAAATTTGTATCTTCTCATAATGCTGGTTAAACTGCTTTACTCTGATAAGCATCTTTATTTCCGGAGAGGTCAGAGTCATTTAGAAGGCTGGTGTTGTGATCTAATAGCACTCAGCTCTTCCTTGGTAAGGATCTTTAATTATGACCCAAGTCTAGTTTACCTCTGCTGAGCAGAGGCACAGGAGGATACCCTGGAATAAAGAAAGATCTAGCAGGAAGATCTTTCTTTTACCAGTATGCTCATTCTTTAATAAACATCTATTGATCACCTTAATAGGGATATTGACATACCATTTGGATAAAAAGTTAGAAAAATAAGAAAATATATTCAATCTGCTTATAATACATAAAGATAATTTGGAAAGACAAAACAACAACAAAAACATGTCCTTGGTGTGTGCATGGGAGAGAAAAACAGTAGGTGGGAGGTAGAACTATGATAAGGGTGCTTCTTCCTGAATCATCTGAGTGCAATATACAATAAATGGAATTATTGTATAAATAAAAAATACAATAAATGGAATTAAAAATAAAGTCAATGGCTTTTGTTTTTTTGAGACAGGGCCTCTCTCTGTCACCCAGGCTGGAATGCAGTGGTGCGATCTCGGCTCACTGCAACCTCTGCCTCCTGGGCTCGAGCAATCCTCCTGCCTCAGCCTTCCAAGCAGCTGGGACCACAGACATGCACCACTAGGCCTGGCTTTTATTTTATTTCTATTTCTGTAGAGACAGGGTTTCGCTATGTAGTCCAGGCTGGTCTTGAACTCCTGAACTAAAGCGATTCACCTGCCTTGGCATCCCAAAGTGCTGGGATTACAGGCATGAGCCACCGTGCCCGGATGATATGCTCTTTTTAAGATTGCATGTGGCAAGTGCTGTAAAAGAGGTATACAGAAGGTGTTACTGAAGAAGCACAGAAGAAGAATGTTTCTACTGGAAGAAATTTGAAAGGACTCCATAGAAGAAGTAGTATTTTAGCTAAGTTTTGAAAATGTGTAGGCATTTGTCAGGAGTCCCTGAAGAAAAGCATTCCAGGGAAAAAAAAATGCTGAGCACTAATTGAATGTTTTACAATTATCTTGTAGCTATAATCCTCATCTCCCTTCCTTATTCCAAAAGGTTGGTATTATGTCACCATCAGATACAAGCTCAGTCTTGTTGCCAGGGATCTTATTCACAAAGTCCTAAATTTACTGTTCTAGATTCCCTTACCTGCTTAGCCTTGCCAGAAGACTTCTTGGTTCTGTATAATGTGTTTAATAACCATTTTGATAACCATTTTTCCTCTAGAAATTCCTCCATATCTCTGAATAGAACTCTTCGTAACACAACTTAGGCCTGATTCTTTTTTTAAAATTAAATATTATTATTTTTAAATTTTTGTAGAGACAGTCTCACTATATTGTCCAAGCTAGTCTCAAACTCTTGGACTCAAGCAATCCTCTTGCCTTGGCTTCCCAAAGTGCTGAGATTACAGGCATGAGCCACCGCACCTGGCCAGGCCTAATTCTTGTTTTTGATTCAGAAGTCACACTTATTTCTCAAATCTTATAAAACTTAATAATTTCTGCAGCCTTAAACTATCTTTACCTTACTTTCTTCTATTCATCTTTGTAATCACCTTCTGAATCATCTTTCAATTTTGTGCATCTCTCTAACTTCTAGCTCACTAGCAGAATTAAAATGAAGATTTAATAGTTCAAACCCACATATTCTGAAAAATCCAAGGATTCAAAAGCTTTAAAAATACCAGAGTATTAATTTTTCCTAGGATCGGTTTTTCCTCCATTACTATTTAATCACAGCAAATGTTGTATTTTTAGGAGTTCATATTTCTCCCCAAGTTGGCTTCACGTGTCATTTTTTTATCAATTCTCCAATTTGTCAGTTATTTTCCATTCCTGTCCTATCATCGGAGGTATTATGATTCCTTTCTTATTTGGAATCACCTGCACATGAATATACACATGATCAAAATTCCTCTTTCTATGAAAACAAAACAACTGCTAACACAAACAAAACATCAGTCAGTCACACCACTACAGCAAAACACACTTTCTATTTAGGTCTATCTCTGCACCCTAACCAGGGACTTCTTACCTCTACCTCCTATTCTTAATTACCTTTCCCTTAAATCTTTCTGGTAAGAATTACCCAGACAACAGACCCCATAGCAGAAGGAGCAAATTAAGGCAGCCAGGCTGAGATAGCAAACATGTCTGTCCAGTAAAGCCCACTTCAGAATGACTCCCAGCCTCCCTCTCTCCACCAGTAACTGTCTTACTTCTCCCCTATCAGTCTCTGAGCTTGTGCTTTGTCTACCTAAATTGTCCCCATTTTACCAATGAGGAAACTGAGGCTCCTAGAAGAAAGAACTTTGACTTTAAAAAAGCTGAACTTCCAACTGGCAGGCAGCCCATTCAATATTTGTCTTGTCCTTGCTCACAAAGCTGTGACAGTAAAAGAAATCTCTGAAAGCAGTGTCTCAGCCCACTATGGGTCCTGGTATCTATCTCCATCCTCAGCCCTACAGGTGCCAAAGTTTGCCTAGGAGGAACCAAAGAGCTATCCGATGTGTGCATACCAGCTTAACACATATGTGCCACTAATACCATCATTTTTAATAATAAAAAACTAATGCATATAAGATGGTTTCTCTACTTCAACACTATTAACATTTTAGGCCAGAAAATCCTTTGTTGTGGTAACCTGTCCTGTGCAACACAGGATGTTTAGCAGCATCTCTGACTGCTATCAATTAGAATGCCAGTAGCATTTACTTTCGTTCTAAAAACCAAAATGTCTCCAGACATTGCCAAATGTCCCCTCGAAAAGCAAAATCAACCCCAGTGAAAAACAACTAGCATATACTAAAAGAAAATACATTACAAAAAAGCAGGTAACATTTAATGAGGCAACTCTCTGCCTTACAAAAAGTTTGTTTATCCATGGTTTAAGTGGGCTTTTTCAGTTAAATAACTCTGTAGTCCTTAGTAAGATACAATACCTACAAGCCTCAGTATCTTCACTTTTAAACTGCTCTAAATCCCTCTTACATAAATATTCTATTAATGTATGGTTCTAAGTGCGTTATAGTTATTAACCGCCAGACAGAGAGGGCATGAAACCTAAAAACACAAAATATTAGAAACTACAACAAAGCAATGAGAAATTATGAAGAAACATTCCTGAGACTGCACTATACCACTGAAAAATATGACCACTTAAAAAATATGGCATATTGATTTTTTAAAGTACACTTATGGTCTAGAACAGTACTGTCCAAACAAATTATAATGCAAGCCACAAATACAATTTTAAATTTTCTAATAACCAGATTAACAAAGTAAAAAAAAAAAAAAGTTAAATATTTTTATTTAACTCAATATATCCAGATTATCATTTTAACATGTAAGCAAGTAAAAATTATGAGATATTTTACATTCTTTTTTTCATATTGTCTTGAAATACAGTGTGTCCTTTATCTATAGCATATCTGAATTTGCAATAGGCATATTTCTAATGCTCAATAGCCACATGTGACAAATAGCTACAATAGCAGCCAAAGAATAAGGGCAAAGAGTGAGCACTCATTTTTCATCTTTACCAGAGAATGAAGTGTTCCACATATATAAATTATCAATAATTGAAGTTGACCTTTTCAAGCAAAATTTCTCCTTTCGTTCATTATTAATACATCTTTTTAAATAATAATAATACAAACCATAATACTTTTTATTTTATTTTATTTTTTAAATTGAGACAGAGTCTCCCTCTGTCACCCAAGCTGGAGTGCAGTGGCGCCATCTCGGCTCGCTGCAACCTTCACCACCCGGGTCAAGCGATTCTCGTGCCTCAGCCTCCTGAGTAGCTGGGATTATAGGCTCCTGCCACCATGCCCAGCTAATTTTTTTGTATTTTTAGTACAGACGGGGTTTCACCATGTTGGCCAGGCTAGTCTTGAACTCCTGACCTCAGGTGATCCACTGGCCTCAGCTTCCCAAAGTGCTGGAATTACAGGCGTGAGCCACCTTGCCCAGTCTATCATAATACTTTTTAAACAAAGGATTATGATAAACAGAACTCATTATTTGCTTGATAATAACATAACTGTATTATGTTTTATATTCTGAGTCTGTTAGCTTTTCTGATTTCTTCCTAGATACCCAGGCGTTTTACCACTGCCAGACTAGAAACCATCAGATGAACTGAAAACTAATTTCAGAGCTGTCCAACTGTGCGACACCCAAAAAAAGTCAGGATTCCCTGACTTTGTGGGGGATGGCAGGTCACCTCATTTAAAAGACTGTTTCAAGCTTTGGGTTTAAGAGTCCATGTGTAAAATTCCTCTTCAACATATCCACCATTTCCCCCAACAACCCCCATGTTAGGAACAGTCTCTTTTCAGCCTTGATTCTCACTTCATCCTTTGTTTTCATCCATATTCTGTTCCCATTTAATCTAGGAGTTCTAATTGTAGGGTGAACACATGCCCTGATTTGCCAGAGAGTCGTAAGTTTACCCACTATTGTTCCAGCATAATTACTAAAATTGTCTTAAGTTTGGACAATTACACAGTTACCCCATCTAATGGTCTCTATCGTTAAGTCTTAAGACAGCAGAGACTGATGACCAATCCTTGCCTACAGATGAAGGGTATATAAGATACTATTAAAATAATACTTCACCTTAATTACTATAAATATTTCTTAATGACTGTAATATATCCATACTGCCAATCAAAGTCTGTGTCAATAAAGCCTTGAAATACAAAACTCGCTAATGAAGTAGTGAAAGACTCTGGCTGAAATTTATTCCTAATTTTAGTAAAAAGGTAAGGAGTTACTCAAAAGAAACAACTACCATTCCTTCAAAGAAAAGGGTTATTAAAGTATTCCTGCTACTACAATTCCATGTCTAAGATTTTCAAAAGCTGATCTTCTAGAGAGGCTTATTAAGTTAAAGAGATGACCTCAAACATCACCCAGATTATAGAGTCCCATCTCAGAGCTAGGGGGAAGAAATTAGTTATACTTTAGAAGTTTAAAGTAAGAATAGGGGTTATCTATAGTGAGGGGGCAGAGTCGGAAGGTTCATGGCAAATGGGAGAAAAGGCTGGGAGGGAAAATTTCACTAACTTTTTATATTTTTTAATTTTTGAATCATGTTACTATATTATTCAAAAAATTAAATTCTAAAAAACTAATCTAAAAATCAGCCCTAAGTGTTGTACTCCTCACACCGAACTTTCTCTAACAAACAGTCGAACTTTTAAGGGAAACTCACTATATGATTCTAGAGAGGAAATGAAGGAAAACCTTTGGAGTGGCTAGACAAGGAGGACAATGAAAATGACAAAACCATAGTGATTTCCACGAACGTAGTTGTTTAAATCCAAATTAAAGAAAAACACATGTGTACCACACCTCTATGCTGGTTTAGCACCAGCATCACTTACCTTTCAGAACAGCAGTTTTAATCGCCATTCTGCCAACGAGGCATTCTTTCAGCATGGATTCATAATTGACCCAACGATGAACCTGGTATGGAAAATAAATGATGGAAAAGAAACATGACTAACTCCACAGGATGCTCTCATTTTAGTATGGGCAAAACTAAACTTTCTGAAATCACTCTCAACACACACCTGAAAACTAAGAAGCATATTCAATTAGTCAACCAGGGAGCGATAGGCTGCACAGATAGGGATTGTTTAGAACAGTATTCTCAAAGTGTTGGGACCTTTGGAAGTTCCTGACACCCTTTCAGGTCTCCATGAGGTCTCCATTTGTTTCATGATAATACTAATAAAAAGTTACTCACTTTTTTTCAGCATCAGAGCAATAAAAGCAATGGTGGGTAAAACTGCTAGTATCTTGTATTAATCAAGGTAGTGGGTCCAAACTGTACTAGTAATTATTATCTTCTTCACCACCATGGACAGTGGAGGGAGCATGAGGAAGATATTTAAGAATACTTAAGAATATCCTTCATGAAGTAGAAAAATTATTAATTAAACTTTGACCCTTGGGTACATATTTTTATTACATTTTGTGTGACAAAGTGGGAAATTCTCAAAAAGATTAGTGTTATAAAGTATGATGGTTTCCCTGTGAAGAAACACTTAGATGACTGTTTGATTTGCAAACGGAACTAGACTTTTTTCATGAAAGGCCATTTGGCACATGTTTACCTATATAATAAACCTGCACATCCTGCACATATACCTCAGAACTTAAAATAAATTTAAAAAAGAAGAAGACATACATGCAGTCAACCAGCAGTGAAAAAAGCTCAATATTACCAATCATTAGAGAAATGCAAATCAAAACCACAATGGGATACCATTCCATGCCGGTTAGAATTGCTATTAATAAAAAGTCAAAAAATAACAGATGCTGGCAAGGTTGCAGAGAAAAGGGGACATTTATACACTGTTGGTGAGACTGTAAATTATTTCAACCATCGTGGAAAGCGATACGGTGATTCCTCAAAGAGTTAAAAACAAAATTACCATTTGACCCAGCAATCCCATTACTGGGTATATATCCAGAGGAATATGAAGCGTTCTACCATAAAGACACAAGCACACGACTGTTCACTACAGCACTGTTCACAATAGCAAAGACATGGAATCAACTAAATGCCCATAAATGACGGACTGAATAAAGAAAACGTGGTACATATACACCAAGTAATACTATGCAGCTATAAAAAAGAACAAGATTATATCTTTGGCAGGAACGTGGATGGAGCTGGAGGCCATTACCCTTAGTAAACTAACAGGGAAATAGAAAACCAAATACTACATGTTCTCACTTATAAGTGGGAGCTGAATGATGAGAACTCCTGAACACAAAGAAATGAACAACAGACACTACTTAAGGATGGAGGTTGGGAGGAGGAAGAGAAGCAGAAAAAATAACTATCAGGTACCAGGCTTAGTACCTGGATGATGAAATAATCTGTACCACAAATCCCTATGACACGAGTTTACGTATATAACAAACCTGCACACGTACCCCTGAACGGAAAATAAAAGTTAAAAAAAAAAAGAACAAAAAATGAAGGGCCATTTATAAGAACTACTAGTAAACAAACTGATTATTCAGACTCAGATATTTAACAGGTATTTTCTTGAAAATAAACAAAGTGATTCTACTGCTTCCAGGAAAACAACTGATAGTATTTGTTGTCAGATGCCACCGGCAGAAATTATATTTAAACAACCTTTCTGCAAGGCACCTTCTCAATATGCCTTAAAAGTCTTAAAATAGGCCAGGAATAATTTTAAGGTGGGGTGGCTCACTCCTGTAATCCCAGCACTTTCGGATGCTGAGGTGAGAGGATTGCTTGAGCCCAGGAGTTAGAGGTTGCAGTAAGCTGATCATGCCACCCCATTCCAGCCTGGGCAAAAGAGCAAGACCCTGTCTGAAAAAAAAGGACTTAAAAATCTGCAGCTATTTTGTTGGTGGGGTAGGACACTTTGGCTTTGATCCTGGGTGTGTGCAGTAGTGTAGTCTCTATATGATTTCTTCAGGTGTAAACAGCACCAAGGATGACTGTGACTTCCTTAGTGTCTGAGAGTACAATTATTGGTGGAGGCCGCGATGAAGTTTTGCTGGTTACTAGGACACCCCAGGTAGGTTAGTCTTTGGGCCCCAGTGGTGGGAGCAGAATTCACTCAGATATTTAGGAATTTACCTGAGAAAATATTTGCATGTATATAAAGATGTAGGTACCAGGATACTCATCACAGCACTACTTAAATTAGCAAAATATTGGAAACAATCTAAATGCCCAATTGTAAAAGACCGGCAAAGGAAAATCAGTATATAAAGCTATTCAATACAATACTATATAATCATTAAAATAATCAGCCAAAAAATACTGATATTGGAATCTTTATGGCATATTCCAGAGTAAATAAGCAAAAAGTATGTAAAGTATAGAAAGAAGACAGTTGACTACAGGTATTTCATACTTGCCTCCACTAAGAACCAAGATAATGAATTGATAATCATATTCTGAATACATCATCCAAGAGAGAACACTGAAATTCAACAGTAAAGTGACAGGAGTTACGTAAAGCAAGAAATGAAAAGGAAGTGAGGCAACCTACAGGGCTGGGATCAGCTGGGAGCTGAAAGAGACTCAGGTTGGAGAACTTTAGCAGTCCACATTCCCAGCATGGACTCCTGCAATCCTAGCCCCAGAAGAACCTTTGACCCTTGCAGGCCCTGACACCAAAAGAGAGAGCTGCTAGGAGATTGTGTGGTGGCACTGCTCCAGGGAGGAGGCTTGCACTGGGTCTCACAAGCTCCCTGAGACCTAAGCAGCTACAGTAAACGGTCATTTCAGAGCCCTAGCCCCAACAAACTGCACACCGTACTAGAACCCAGCAGCACCCAGACTGAAGTGCAAAAGAAGCATGGCTGCTGCCCCAGGAGTTTAGGTTCAAGGAACTGCCAGCTACTGCAGGCAGAGCTAAAAACAGAATTACCATTTGACCCAGCAATCCCATTACTGGATATATATCCAGAGGAATATAAAGCATGGGCTGCGGCAAGAGCAAGTCACCAGGGCTGAAGAACAGGTAGTACATTCACTCCCCATCCACTGGCCTAGGCTGCCTACCACTAAAGGCATCACCACTCTGCCCAGGGGCAGGGTATCACCACAACTGCTGTCTCCCTCCACCTGAGCATTCCACTGGTAGCCTGGGAATTGCTCCTGCCTACCATGCCTACCATGGCTGGCCTCACCCGTCTCTGCCTATGTCACAGCACAGTTTGAGGGCCAGGAGGTTGCCCAGCCCAGTCCAACACACTGGCACCTGAACACTCCTCCCAGGGGCCTGAGGTTGGACATACCAACCTGGCTGCTACCGCCACAGCTAGTACCTCCTTGCACATGCCATCTCAAGGGTTAGAGACTGGCCTGTAGAGCCCATAACAGCCTCCACCAACATAAGCGTGTACCACCTGGGACCCAGAGGTCATCCTGCCACTGCCACTGTCATCACCCATGCCATACCACCTGCCCAGGGGCCCAAGAACTCACCCACTGTTGCCACTACTGGGATCCAACTAGGCCACCAAGAGGCCCAAGAATCAGCTTGCCTTGATGCAGTAACCCTGGTGCCAGCATATGCCATCCTGGGGCCCAAGGACAGACAGGCTTAGCCCACTGCTCCCACCACTGGGGCCCAAAGACTAACCTACCTGGGGTGTCCTAGTAACCAGCAAAACTTCATCGCCGCCTCCACCAATAATTGTACCCTAAGACACTAAGGAAGTCACAGTCATCATTGATGCTGTTTACACCTGAAGAAATCATATAGAGACTACACTACTGCACACACCAGGATCAAAGCCAAATATCATAGATATATTTACAGGAAAAATTTCTCCCATATGAAATTCAAAAAAACTGAAAAAGGGCCAGGTGCGGTGGCTCAGTACTTTGGGAGGCCGAGGCGGAGGATCACCCGAGGTCAAGAGTTCGAGACCAACCTGGCCAACATGGTGAAACCCCTTCTCTACTAAAAATACAAAAAATTAGCCAGGCGTGGAGGCACGTGCCTGTAGTCCCACCTACTTGGGTGGCTGAGGCAGGAGAATCACTTGAACCCGGGAGACAGAGGTTGCAGCGAGATGAGACTGCACCACCGCACTCCAGCCTGGGCAACAAGGTGAGATTCTGTCTCAAAACAAAACAAAACAAATGATATACAAAACACATTCAAAAGCAAATTATTATTTGATCTAAAGAGAGAGATAAACTCCAACACAATAATAGTGGGGGAGTCCAAAATCCCATTCTCAGCATTAGACAAAATCTCATTCTCAGCATTAGATGGATCTAGAGAGAAAAACCAACAAACATTGGATTTAAACGGGACTTCAGACCAATGGACCTACCAGACATTTATAAAACATTTATCCAGCGATTGCAGAATACACATTTTTTTTTTTCATCAGTACATGTAACATTGTCCATGACAAATATATGTTAGGCTACAAAACAAATCTCAACTTATTTTTAAGCACTGAAATCCTCTTGAGTATATTTTCAGACCCCAGTAAAATAAATAAATACTAACAGGAACTTTCAAAACCATACAAATACATGGAAATTAAACAACATGCTCCTGAATCACCATTCAGTCAAAGAAGGAATTAGGATGGAAATAAAAAAAATTTCTTGAAACAAATGAAAATGGAAATGCAGCATACCAAAACCTGGGGAAATACAGCAAAAGTAGTATCTAAGGGGAAGTAGCAATAAATGCCTACTCCAAAAAAGGTGACAGATTTCAAATAAACAATCTAACAATGTACCTCAAGGAACTAGAAAGGCAAGAAGAAACCAAAGGCAAAATTAGCAGAAGAAAAGAAATAATAACTGTCAGAGCAGAACTATATGAAATAGATTTTTTTTAAAAAGATACAAAGGATCAATAAGACAAAAAGTTGATTTTTGAAAAGATAAAACAAAATTGATAAGCCACTAGCTAGAATAACCAAAAAAGAGAAGA